AAGGGAGAAACAAGGAAGGGAGGAGAGAGGAGTAAGAGTAATGGAGAGGGAGGGAAAAAGGAGTGGGAGATAATTTCACTTCCCCGTCGTGGACAGCCTAGGGGGAAGATTAAGGGAGAGGGTGGGAAGGAAGGAAGGAAGGAAGGAAGGAAGGAAGGAAGGAAGAATGGAAACTACGAAGAAAAGTTAGAGGGAGGGAATTAGGTTAGGTAAGGTAGGAGAGAGAGAGAGAGAAGGGAAGGTAAGGCGATGAATTTCATGTATTCTATATTACTAGTCAGAGTGGAGGGAGGTGCGCAGGTGCAAGGGAGAGGGGAAGGAGTGTGAGAGGGAGAGGGGAAGGAGTGTGAGAGGGAGAGGGGAAGGAGAGGGGGTAGGGGAGGATTGTGAGAGGGAGAGGGGAAGGAGAGGGGTAGGGGAGGATTGTGAGAGGGAGAGAGGGAGAGGGGTAGGGGAGGATTGTGAGAGGGAGAGGGAAGGAGAGGGTAGGGGGGATTGTGAGAGGGAGAATGGTAAACTGGAGGAGAGAGGGGAAAGAGAGAGGGAGTGAGTGTCATGTCAACACTGAACACACACACACACACACATACACACAGAGCGAGGGAACAATCAACCAATAAGACAACAGCGGGGAAACAATCCGCCAATCACAACACGGCTCAAAAGAGACAGTTGTTACCATAGCTTTCCACGATGACGTCATCTTCCTGGACCAACAAAAACCATCCTCTCTTATGGACAAAGCTGTTCTCTGATTGGCTGAAATATTTCCGCCTAGTTGTCTCATTGGCTAAAGTTTGTGATCAATTGAGGATTTTGTCAATAGATGGCGTAGAATTTAAGAATGTTTGTTTTGACGTATTATTGTGATTAAATTCTAATCACACACACACACACACACACACACACACACACACACACACACCACATAACCTTATATGTAAATGACCATCACCCTTCCGTCCAGGCATGAAACTCACGAAAGGAGGAGATGGTGCATTTAATTACCAACTCCAGATGGTGTCCCCGGAGAGAGAGAGAGAGGAGAGAGAGAGAGAGAGAGAGGTGAACGAAATTAATCAATTTTATTCCCTTCTCTAAGCCTCCTCCCCACTCCCCTCACGTAAATCCATCACCCTCCTCACCCCTTACCTTCCTTCCTCCACCCCTTACCCACCCCCTCACCTTCCTCCCTCACCTTCACCTCCTTCACCCCCCTCACCTCTTACTTCCTCCATTCCTCACACTTCCTCCCTCCATCCCTCACACGTTCTCCCTCACCTTCCTACCTTCACCCCTCATGTCAGCTAGAGGAGGCTGGGTGAGGGGACAGCAGGTGATCCCCTCAGAGCTCAGGGGACGAGGGGAGTCAAACGGGTGACAAGGGGAACACTCACCTGACGACTTCCGCGCTCTGCTCCTCCTCCCTCCTCTCTCTCTCTCTCCTCTCTCCTCTCTTCTCTCCGTTTTAGATTTCAGAAACATGAATTAAATAAGTAGGTAGAGAAGGATAGAAAAATGGATGAATAAATATAGAAACGAACAGAAAAAAAAAAAGAGAAAGAGAGAGATGACGAAAAAGAGAAAAAATAAGGAGATAAATTGACAAAGAAAGAGGAGAGAGGGAGAGAAAATGGAGATATATAAAGAGAAATAACATTAGGTCTGTCTCGTTCCTGCGCCTGACAGAGAGACAGATGGTTACTGAGGTGTAGGAGAGCCATCTGTCCCAGTTGGGATCTTCATAAATTGATGGGAATAATGCCGCCCTCACTTCCTGGGGGGGCAGGGGCAGGTCTTGTGGTTTTTACGGGTTTTTTTCTTTTTCATGGCCTTTTCAGTTTTATCCTTTGTTTTGTTTAGGTATTTTTTGGGGGAGGGGTTGTGTTTTCCCATGATTTCTGTTTTTCCGGGTTTTGTGGTTTTAGGTTTTTACACTTCAAAAATCGGTTTTCCAGCATTCGTGGTTTTAAAGATTTTTTTCTCCGGGTCTCGTGGTTTTACGTGGGTGATTTTCCAACTTTGATTTATACGGTTTTTCCAGCTCTTTTATCGCTTGTTGGCAGAGAGAGAGAGAGGGGGGGGCTCATTAACCTTGAAGGAAAGTGGATTAAGTGTGACCGGAGGTGACAACCACTCTTCCTCCTTCTCTTCCTCCTCCTCTTCAAATAATACCCCCCTCCTTGTCTTTTCTCTCCCTTTTCCCTTCCCTATTTCTTTCCTCCCCTCCTCCCTCTTTCTGCCATTCTTTCCTCTGACCTGCCTCTCTCGTCCCTTTCCTTTCTGCTCCTCTCCTTACCCTTTCATCCCTCCCTTTCCTCTCCCACACACCTTCTCATCTCCTCTCCCTCTCCTCTTCTCCCTCTCTCATCCCTCTCTTGTCTCTTACCAATCGTCCCACTTTCTCTCCTACCTCGGGGAAGTGGTGGGGAATGAGGGGGTCCTCTAATGCCAGTGTACCTGTTGGCTTCCCTCAGGTGGGTCACTATAGGGTCACCTGTGCTAATTAACGATGACCTCACAGCTACCAAACAGGGAGGTGCTGCCGCCTGGGAAGATATTGGAAGCATAATGTGTTGTCTAATGGTAGACCCTGCTGCCATATGACCAAGTCCCAGGTTTCTGTATATCGTTTCTCACTATTAATATTTTTTATTGTTATTATTATTATTATACATTATATTTTTATTATTTCTTTCAAATATTTTATTACTTATTATTATTATTATTATTATTATTTTATTATTATTATTATTATTATTATTATTATTATTATTATTATTATTATTATTATTATTATTATTACTATTATTATTATTACTATTATTATTATTATTATTTCACCCCCAGGCCCGGGCCATTGACCTGTGCCCTGGTGGGCTAATCTCGAAAAAAAAAAAAAGCTATTATCGTCAAACGGGAATATCCGCACGTATATAACCCCTGTGTGTGTGTGTAATACTAATAATAATATTAATAATTAACGGTTTATTGAAAGAGCTTGGCAACCAGAAGGCTGAAAATATACAGTTACATATTTGGGGAATGGGTTTCGAATTGCAAATAATATACAAGTAACGTAAGTGATACAAATAAGATATATAATAACTAGATGGGGAAAAGCTCAAACTACAGGGCATTTCAACATAGTGACAGTGCAAGAAGTAGTATTTACTGGGGGTGAATACACTGGTTTATTACAAGTTATTGATAATTTTACAATGGTTGGGACTGGGCTGTTCTTATAGCGATCAGTTCGTGCACGTATGGGCTGGATGCGGTTGTGGTGTCGAACAGCAATTCTCGGGCTAGGGATCTCAGGTGGTAGTAGGAGCCGGTGTGTCGAGGATGGTGTAGAAGCTTCTTACAAATTTGCAGATGAGGTCGTGGTGATGGTCAGTGAGAGTCGAAGAAAGGGTCAGTGTGTTGAGCGCTTCTTGATATGTGGAGTAGGAAGGGAGAGAATAATCTTGCATGCCCTCTTTTTGTACTTTTCTAGGTGTTTACGTTGTGTGGCTTAGGAGAGGAAGACCAGGTAGGGGAGGCATAGGTGAGCTTGGGAAGTATGAATGTTGTGTAAACACTGAGGAGCTCAGGTGCAGGAACTCCGAGGGACTTGAGTCGGCGGAGGAGGTGGAGACAAACTGGAGGATTTGACAACTTCACTGCGTGTGGTTTCCAATTTAGTTTGTTGTCTATGGTGACGCCGAGGAGCTTCGTGGAATCTACAACCTGGAGTGTGTTCGGACCTAAAGTAATGGAAGGAGGTGGGACAATGTCGGAGGAGAGGTTGATGTGCATAACCATGGTCTTGGTATGGTTGATGGTGACATGGTTGTTGGTGGCCCAGTTTGGAGACTGTTCAATAAATCCTGAAGGGCGGTATAGTCGGGAGCAGAATTGTTGACGCTGATCCCAATGGTGGAGTCGTCGACATATTTCCAGCGAGCAGGTGTGTGTGAGAGAGGGGGAACCGGGTCACGTACAAGAGGTAATTTACACCTGATAGACTGGTTCCCTATTTGTCATCGCACACATAAACAACAGGTATCCATTGCAGGAACGACGGCCTCTGATTGGCTGATCCCCTACCCAGTGAGAGAGTAGACATAGTCAAAACAACATGGCGCACGAGAGATGAAAAATCTCTCTTATTTGTGATATAAAAAGCTGTTTTGTCCTCAATCAGTAATCATAATATTTACTTCTCGTGCGCCATGTTGTTTTAATTGGTACTCGTCTCTCATTGGTTAACTATCAGCCAATCACACGCTTGTTTGCACACATATTCCCCCTCCCCATGGTAGCAGAGTAATTTTATTGATTACTGTTTACTTTTATAATTCTGTCATCTGCCATGTATAGAGGTGCAGTGTGTGTGTGTGTGTGTGTGTGTGTGTGTGTGTGTGTGTGTGTGTGTGTGTGTGTGTGTGTGTGTGTGTGTGTGTGTGTGTGTGTGTGTGTGTGTGTGTGTGTGTGTGTGTGTGTGTGTGTGTGTGTGTGTGTGTGTGTGTGTGTGTGTGTGTGTGTGTGTGTGTGTGTGTGTGTGTGTGTGTGTGTGTGTGTGTGTGTGTGTGTGTGTGTGTGTGTGTGTGTGTGTGTGTGTGTGTGTGTGTGTGTGTGTGTGTGTGTATAAAAGAAAGAAAAATACCGTCAAAATACCAGGGTTCACACACACACAGACACACACACACACACACACACACACACACACACACACACACACACACACACAAAGAAACAGCAGTTGGGTGGCATAAACTCACTTAAATGGCACCTCAGGTAAAAACAGGTGGATAACTAAATGCAAATTTCACTTAGGTCAATAATCCTCCTTGACAACCTTACCTGGGGAGCCACCTGAATATCACCTACCTTAAATTTGATCTCAAGGGGAAAGATCTGGTCGTAAGATCTGGTACTGGGGTTCTGAGGTGGTCGTAAGATATGGTACTGGGGTTCTGGTGGTCGTAATATGGTACTGGGTTCTGAGGTGATCGTTATTGGTACTGGGGTTCTGAGGTGGTCGTAAGATATGGTACTGGGGTTCTGAGGTGGTCGTAAGATATGGTACTGGGGTTCTGAGGTGGTCGTAAGATATGGTGCTGGGTTTCTGAGGTGGTCGTAAGATGGTACGCAGTACTGGGGTTCTGAGGTGGTCGTAAGATATGGTACTGGGGTTCTGAGGTGGTCGTAAGATATGGTACTGGGGTTCTGAGGTGGTCGTAGATATGGTGCTGGGGTTCTGAGGTGGTCGTAAGATCTGGTGCTGGGGTTCTGAGGTGGTCGTAGATATGGTGCTGGGGTTCTGAGGTGGTCGTAAGATATGGTGCTGGGGTTCTGAGGTGGTCGTAAGATATGGTACTGGGGTTCTGAGGTGGTCGTAGATATGGTACTGGGGTTCTGAGGTGGTCGTAAGATATGGTACTGGGGTTCTGAGGTGGTCGTAAGATCTGGTGCTGGGGTTCTGAGGTGTCGTAAGATATGGTACTGGGGTTCTGAGGTGGTCGTAAGATGGTCTGGGGTTCTAGTCGTAATTGGTTGGGGTTTGGGTGTCGATATGGTTTGGGTCGATTGGTACTGGGGTTCTGAGGTGGTCGTAAGATATGGTACTGGGGTTCTGGAGGTGGTCGTAAGATATGGTGCTGGGGTTCTGAGGTGGTCGTAAGATATGGTACTGGGGTTCTGAGGTGGTCGTAAGATCTGGTGCTGGGGTTCTGAGGTGGTCGTAAGATATGGTACTGGGGTTCTGAGGTGGTCAGATTGGTGCTGTTGAGGTGGTCAAGATATGGTGCTGTTCTGAGGTGGTCGTAAGATATGGTACTGGGGTTCTGAGGTGGTCGTAAGATATGGTACTGGGGTTCTGAGGTGGTCGTAAGATATGGTACTGGGGTTCTGAGGTGGTCGTAAGATATGGTACTGGGGTTCTGAGGTGGTCGTAAGATATGGTACTGGGGTTCTGAGGTGGTCGTAAGATATGGTACTGGGGTTCTGAGGTGGTCGTAATATATGGTACTGGGGTTCTGAGGTGGTCGTAAGATATGGTACTGGGGTTCTGAGGTGGTCGTAAGATATGGTACTGGGGTTCTGAGGTGGTCGTAAGATATGGTACTGGGGTTCTGAGGTGGTCGTAAGATATGGTACTGGGGTTCTGAGGTGGTCGTAAGATATGGTACTGGGGTTCTGAGGTGGTCGTAAGATATGGTACTGGGTTCTGAGGTGGTCGTAAGATATGGTACTGGGGTTCTGAGGTGGTCGTAATATATGGTACTGGGTTCTGAGGTGGTCGTAAGATATGGTACTGGGTTCTGAGGTGGTCGTAATATGGAACTGGGGTTCTGAGGTGGTCGTAAGATATGGTACTGGGTTCTGAGGTGGTCGTAAGATATGGTACTGGGGTTCTGAGGTGGTCGAAGATATGGTACTGGGGTTCTGGGGGTCGAATCTATGGTACTGGGGTTCTGAGGTGGTCGTAATATATGGTACTGGGGTTCTGAGGTGGTCGTAAAGATATGGTACTGGGGTTCTGAGGTGGTCGTAATATATGGTACTGGGGTTCTGAGGTGGTCGTAAGATATGGTACTGGGGTTCTGAGGTGGTCGTAAGATATGGTATTGGGGTTCTGAGGTGGTCGTAATATATGGTACTGGGGTTCTGAGGTGGTCGTAAGATATGGTACTGGGTCTGGTGTCGTAGATATGGTACTGGGGTTCTGAGGTGGTCGTAAGATATGGTACTGGGGTTCTGAGGTGGTCGTAATATGGTACTGTCTGAGGTGGTCGTAAGATATGGTACTGGGGTTCTGAGGTGGTCGTAAGATATGGTACTGGGGTTCTGAGGTGGTCGTAAGATATGGTACTGGGGTTCTGAGGTGGTCGTAATATATGTACTGGGGTTCTGAGGTGGTCGTATATGGTACTGGGTTCTGAGGGTCGTAAGATATGGTACTGGGGTTCTGAGGTGGTCGTAAGATATGGTACTGGGGTTCTGAGGTGGTCGTAATATATGGTACTGGGTTTGAGGTGGTCGTAAGATATGGTACTGGGGTTCTGAATGGTAGGATGAACTTCTCCCTTACCTGAAGATGTAAGACGATACCTTAGAGTGTTAATTAAGCTACGGCACTGATGAATTCTTGGATGTTCCTACTGGAAATTGGCTCACCTGATGATTAGACACCTCAGCTTATTTCACCTAATGATTAGATTCAGCTTATTTCACCTGATGATTAGATACCTCAGCTTATTTCACCTAATGATTAGATTCAGCTTATTTCACCTGATGATTAGATACCTCAGCTTATTTCACCTGATGATTAGATTCAGCTTATTTCACCTGATGATTAGATACCTCAGCTTATTTCACCTGATGATTAGATTCAGCTTATTTCACCTGATGACTAGACACCTCAGCTTATTTCACCCGATGACACAATGATAGATTCGAGGAGCGTATTTAACTGGCTCACCTTCATCTACGTCAGAGATGGAAGCTAAGATG